AGTTACAAGGGGGAGGAGTTATTGAGCATCTTGTGGAAGATCAGGCCTACACCTATCTTGGAATGCAAGTTCGAGACAAGCTCCAGAATGCCCAGATTCAAGACAAACTTTGGGCCGAGTATAAATCTCGTTTAAAGAAAATCTGGAGCTCAGAGCTAAATGCTCGAAACAAGGTCAAAGCCACCAATACTTTTGCTGTGCCAGTCCTCTCCTATTCCTTTGGAGTAGTTGATTGGACAAAACAAGACATCCAGAGTCTTGACCGCCTGACCAGAAGGATCATGTCTGATAACAGAGCCCACCACCCTCGTTCCTCTCTTAACCGTGTATATATGCCAATCAATTCTGGAGGTCGGGTTTGATTAATGTGGAGGCTCTTCATGACAGAATTTTATTGTGTACTTTTGTACATATTTATTTATCGGATGATCCTCTGGTGATGCATGTGAAGACTCATGATGAAAGCAAGGAATTCCACAGCTATTTTAAGCGTGCCAAGGTTGTTGGACAGAATCTGAAATTTGAGGTTGACTTTGCTGATGGCGATGTACTGCTGGACGGTACAGCGATGAGAGTAAACCAGGTGAAGTCCTTCACCAAGTCTGCCCAGAGTCGGTCTTTTGTGGATAAGCTTTCTGAGAAGCCATTGCATCGTGTGTACATGCAGTGTGTGGAACAGAATAGTAATCCCTCTGACTCCTTTGCCTGGATGAAGTCGGCTGGTCTTAAATGTGAAACTGAGGGCTTCCTTTTTGCTGCTCAGGACCAGTCACTTCCCACTCGTAATCGCCTAAATGTGATTCTTAAAGAAAATATCAATATGAAATGTCGTCTTTGCAATGAATTCACAGAGACTGTCCAACACCTTGTCAGTGGATGCCCTTCCTTGGCACAAACAGCATATCTTAAACGACATGATGGCATGGCTCGCTGCTTTTACTACCGTCTCCGACATGCCTGTGGCTTTGACTCCGAGGTCCATCCATGGTACGACCCTGAACATGTCCAGGGCGTCATGGAAAATGATGCTTTCAAACTTCTGTGGAATAGGCCCATATACAGCCTCAGAAGAATTCCAGCTAACAAACCTGATCTTGTCCTTTTTGATAAAGCCAATGAATTTATATATATCATTGAATTTTCTGTCCCTTTTGACAGGAATGTGATTGACAAGATCAAGGAAGAGCACGATAAATATGCGGACCTCGCCTTTGAAATGTCTCGCTTGCATCCCAAGTACACTGTCGTCAGGCTCCCCATTGTTCTCGGTGCCCTTGGTTTGGTACCTCCTGATCTCTTGGCGCAGATCAGGAGAGTGCCCGGGTTCTCCACCGGGAGCACAGCCCTTCTGACACTCTGGGTAATGCAGAAGGTTGCAGTGTTGGGGAGCCTTCGTATTCTCCGGAAAGTTCTTGGTGGGTTCGACTAGGCAGCGTTTCCTGGGAGAAGTCCCATTCGCTGTCTGGGCTGCGTGTAGAGGGGGCAAGGGCCCTGAGCTGATGATGAGCCTTACCAGCCTGACTGTGCCAGGGTCACCCGAACCCTCTCTGCTGCATATTATCTTTAACCTGTAAAACATAATAATAATAATTGATTTATAGAGCGCCTATTTCCAAAGGATATTGCTCAATGGCGCTATGAAGAGAAAAGATTGTAGACAATGTCTATGGAAAAGAGAGTTTGAACAGATGAGTTTTGAGGGCAGTTTTGAAAGCATCAGCAGATTCTATTTCTTTTAGGGTGAGTGGTAGAATGTTCCAGAGATAGGGGGCTGCAGCAGAGAACGCTCTTGATCCCATGGCTGTTTTGATGTGAGGCTGTGTAAGCAGTAGGGAGTTTGACGAGCGGAGCAATCGGCTTGGAACATGGAGATGAATGAGGCTTTTAAGATATTGAGAAAACATGTTTTCATAGATGCAGCTGTGTGTAAGAAGAAGAAGTTTGTATTGAATTCTGCTTGATACAGGAAGCCAGTGAAGAGTTTGGAGGATAGGTGTCACAGTTTGGTAGCGTTACGTGAACGTTTGCAGTCCATTCAGACCTTTGACTTCAGTATCTAGTGTGACCACCACGAGCGGCAATAGCTGCAGCACAGCGTCTATGCATGGAGTGCACCAATCGATTGATGAAGGCCATTGGTACTTGGAACCACACCCTGAGAAAGGCCTGGCGCAACAAATCGGCTGTGTTCGGCCTTGGTATGACATTATTCAGTCTCCTCTGAATTTCATCCCAAAGATGTTAAATTTGGTTTAAATCAGGACTAAGGGCTGGCCACTGCATAACGTTGACACCGTTCTGCTGTAGGCAGTCCCATGTAGCTCTGGCAGTATGGGCCCGGGCGTTATCATGCTGGAAAATGTTGTTCCAGTGACGTGCGAAATGTGGTATAGCTTGGTCGATGTAGTTCACCGCTGTGATGCGGCCTCCTCTCCCTGGACCAAGGTTCTGGAACATAACAGGACCTCTCGTTCAGGACTATTCACCCCATACCATGATGCTTGCACCTCCCCGTGAGTCTCTTTCACACACATTGGTCTGAGTAACGCTCGTCGTCGTCGCCATATTCTTGTTCTGCCATCTGCTGTTGATACGCAGTACCGACTCTCATCTGAACAGAACAGTACTCCATTGTCTGTATCGCCAGTTTTGGTGTTGTAGGGCAAACTGTAGACGTTCGCGCCGATGACGAGGGGTGAGGATAGGTCCACGGTAAGGTCTACGGCAATGGAAGTTCCCGCTGTTAAGACGTCGGCGTACTGTATTAGTACTGATTGTTCTTCCGTGTGTTCCCACTGTCTGGCGTGCTGTTTCGGATGCATGCATGAAGGGATTCTGTACATGCTGTCGCACAACATGGCGGTCTTGTCGCCTTGTGGTCAGCCTTGGTCTGCCAGTATGGGGGTGATCATTTGTGGTGTTGGTGGCCCGGAAACGTTGCTGCAGCCTTGAGATGGTCCGAACGTTGACCTGGAAATGATTGGCAACGGCTTGTGCAGTGTGGCCAGCTTCAAGTCTTCCTAACGCCTGGTTCCTCTGAGCTGTCGTGAGTCGCGGCATCCTGCTGACGTTGTAATGTGAATGTTTCAACCAGGTTTGGGGGGTGCATTTTATAGGGCTGGTCCTTGTGAACAGCACGTGCAGCATAAGTTGCATGAAAAACATGGAGAACACCGTACCATCTCCGAGATCAGGTTGCGTTTTTGAGACCATTTCCTGGGTTCCATTCTGAGTTTGGGAAGGAATGTCTTTGCTCAGGTAAAGTTAGAGATGTTGTCAAAAATATACAATCAAAACATTAAATGAGTTTACAGTTATCCGTTTCTGCGAAGGACAATTCCAAACTGACGTTTCTTTTGCTGCTTGGAATATATAACTTGGATTCAGTGAGTGACAAAAATCACGAAAACCTTTTCCTTTATGTTTAGTTTAGAGTTATCTCCCTTTGTCGGGTACTCGAGTCCTGGAATTTGCCGTACCCGACCCGTTGCCGGTTACTCGAGTACCCGTCAGAGCCCTAATAGGAAGCGTGAGGAAATCTGAAAAAGAAAAATATTTGTGAAAATAAATGTATTTAACATTATTAAAAATATACTGAATACTGAAAGCGAACACTATACAATACAATACAATACAATGCAATATAGTTTATTAGAGTCTCACCATTTGTACAGCAAGAGGTAAAATACAGCATTTAGAATATTAAAAGGGTAAACGTACAAATGCCACCCAAGAAGGTTATGAGAGACTATATTTTACAAAATTAGTGTACTTTATAACTGTGTAGAAAGAGATAAAAATGTTACATATTATATTATGATTATATGCACAATATACAAATATAGATAATAGGAATTTAAATGATGAAATACACAAATAAGGATAACATATTGAGCGGTTGTTAAATTATACATAAAGTAATACATAACTTAAAATCCAAGTCTTTGGGTTCGCTAGGACAATCACCGGTCTGTGATAATTTATCTTCCGCGCTGCTTGGCTCAAAGGTGGCAGGAATGGGCAGCTGGGTTCACTCTCGGCTCTGTATATCTCCTCGGCCATCACGCCAGACGACTTGTAATAGTCACCAGACTTGGCGACATCCCTGATCTAAAGAAATGGACACTTTAACTATATTTCAAATTGTTATACTAGTTAGTTAGTTATTTGCTATATAGCGTCGCACGCACAACTAAGGTATTTCGGCGACGGGGTAGTACACTTATTAAGAAATGATGGGGAAGAAAAAAAGAAATTTTGAAAGAGTGGTGTTACTAGTATTCTTCTGTATTTGTTCTTTATTAGATCTGGTCTTTTTGTTGTAGAGTAAGTTTTGAGAGCTTGTATGGAGCTTAAGGAATCCGTAAAAAATGCAGATGGTAGTGCTTATGTAGATACCAAAACCAGTATAATTTCCACGTTGGTCCTAGGATCCGTCAGTATACATGTGGAGATTATCTTGTGGATTGTAATTTTGTTGTATGAATTCTTACACTGTGAATATATTAAGCATATTGTGTTCAGTAAGTTTTGTGTTGGCAAGGATTTTTGGCAGTAATACTGGAGGAAGAGATTAGTAATATGGGTTTGTATTATATTCGGCAGTATATAAATCAAGTTGTTTAATTTCCTGTATTTTTTGTCCAAAAGGTTTTGGGTATTTGCCTTTATTGATAATTATTTTAGTTTCAATTGCTTGTGCACTCCGATCGCGAACATGTACTCCCCCGGTATAGCGCGAGCAATGTAATCGTTGAAATCACCAGTCGAATATTCTCGAGATCTCTGTTACGCAACAAAAGTGATGAAGAATGTCATAATGCTAATGGCCAGCACAAGTTCAGATATATTATCCATGTCGGGTGCCAAAGAATGAACCAAATCATGTACGGATTTGGTACTAGTATTTCCTACAAGGCAGTCCTAACTGCGCCGGTCTGTGGGTCTACACCGGACGATATAGGATACATTCAACCGGAAGTGCACAGTTGACCCGACACCGTAATGTAAACGAAATGGTGGCGTCATGGAATTCATGACAACGCCTATTTCGATAATGCATTAGTAGAATAACGTGAGAATAATCAATTACATCCAGTGAACTATTCCTCCTCTCTAAAGGTAAATATTACACGTTATCGGTGACTCCATTTCTTTCGTGTTTCCTGTTCAGGCAAAACGTTCTTCCTTGTAGTCAGGCGCACACCTGCACACGCGAGTTTTCCTGTCACGATAACAACTACAGTAGGGTGTGCGCCTTTTACTTTACTGTGTGTATTCTTACCCTTCTCTTAAAATATATCCTAAAACATCCGATAATGAAACAGGTACGCAAATAAAGCAGTTGCGATTAAAGGGATATACCTAACCCCCTGCATGCCAAGTGGGTTTTTTTTTTCTGACTCACGATCTGAAAAGTGAACGTTGTGCGGGTATTTTCGTTCGTGCTGCAACTTTTCTACCTACATAAAGTGTAAATCACTTGGAGACAATTTGCTGTTGTCATCATCATCATCATCATCTTTATTTCCTCCATTCGGAGATAAATGTGAATATATTTACTCATTTGGACAGTCATGGAGCCTCTAATATCGCTGTAGTTATGTTTTTGCTATCAGGATTATGAACACCTACTGACATTTGGCATTTTATATATATTTTCAGTTGACTGATGTTTAATCTTCATTTCTGTCACAAATAATGTGAGGTGAGGTGAAATTGGGTTTTATGTCGTACTTGAGAATATTTCGCTCATATGACGACGTGCATGCGCGTGTAAGTGTATGTGCGGCTGCTTGTACTAGCCCAGACTGAAGCTGGTTTTATAGTGCTAGCCCACTGAGATACCGTGCCACAGTGAAGCATGACTACCCCTCTCAGACACATTATACTGACTCCGAGCCAACCAGTCCTTGTTGTACCCATTAATGCCGAGCGCCAGGCAGGGACCAACAAGTACCATATTTTAACGTGTTTTGGTATGACACGGTCGGGGATCGAACCCACGACCTTCCGCTCTCCCGGGCGGACACTCTAACCACTACACCACGAAGGCGGTCCACAAATAATGTATCACATAGTCACAACCTGTTTAATACGATCGTTTAATCCCGATTGCCTCGTTTGACACGGAAATACTGAGGTTTTGAGATGGGGTCACTCTTCTTTGAATGGAGGCACAAATAGGTTGTGCAACAAAGCTTAAGGTTGGGCTGTTTTTTAGCATCGTAATGGCGGGTAATACAAAATGTCACGATTCGATGCTGAAACCTGAATTAAGATCGTTTTTTCTGGCAAGGGGCATGACTGTGTGTCAAATTACACTTTGACACAACCGCGTGAGTTTGCTAACAAGGCAGTTGAACTTGGATTACCAGTGCTAACGACTCCCGATGACACGGCTCCATTCCTTTTGGAGAGATGTATGGTAGTTGTTGACAGTGATGTTTCCCTTGGGTGTGTCGCCCAAACTGAAATTCTGGACTGATAACCTGTCTTTGCTTCCCATTTTATGTCAACCTGACATCCTAAAGTACTGTCGGAAATGCTAGAAAAATGCTTTTTGACTTATATTTAAAATTCAGAGGTATTACAGTTACTTAAATAACAAATATCACTTCAAGAAACATCTACCTAATGTAGACCGGGGGAATATATTTAGAGACATGCTCTAAACTGTGTTTTTACTGATGAAAATACCAAAAACTTAGAAAAATAAGGGGTAGTTGGACGTTATTTGAAACAAACATTAACTGCCTGTGTTACGTCATCAGAATGCACGGTATCGACAGGTGAAATTGACACCTGAGCACACGCTCGGGCGAGGGTCATCTCAATAGATGTTTTCTGCAAAATGTTGAATATGTGTAGGTATAGTATCATCAGTTATGTAAGGGATCATTTGTGTATGTGTGTTTGTTGTGACATAAACTGTACATTGGAAAGAATCCTATCACTTGTGGTATCTTATCGATTGATTGTAGAAATGTGCAACGTTTTAATAAAGCGTTTTGCATGTCAACAGTATAGTTCATTGAAAAAATATGGATGTAATTCGGTCAGTTTAATCTAGTTGTGAACATTGGCCAAAGATATATTATATATATTTTTCTTCTCATAAAGTTTGTAGACCGTCCGTCTAAGCACTCCCTTGTCAAAGTTGTCAAGGATGGTTTTACGTCTCGGTTTTGCATATATGAGACGGTCCCTGTCTTGTCTGATTTGTTTACAATATTGTAAACTTGTTGGTAAGACATGCCAACAGCTCTACAAGTTCTGTAATAAACCCTCTCTACACTAATGAAAGGTTTACCTCTGTCTTTTTTAAGCAGAAAAAAACTATAAACCTTTGCAACAATCGACTGCAAATCGTTGGCCATAGTGCACGCTGTGATAAAGATGTGCATGCATGACGGGAAACCTATTTCTCAAGACTTAACATTTATATTAATATTTCTTCAATACAGAAAACGATAATTAAGTAAAGTAACACAAACATTCAACATTTATTTGTTTAGGAAAACGTTAATTCATATTTTTACACCACCTGTATTATTAACATAAATGTAAAGACTATTTCAGATTTCTGTTGTTGAACTCTGAATAAATCTTAAGTTGCTGTTTTGGTACCAAATTCTCTCCTGTAAACTGCCCTTTAAATGCATGGGGATGTTAAATCGATTGAAATAAAAATTAGGTAGACAATAGGCGAGTTGATATATTGACAACATAGTACATTTATCACCTTTATAAAGATATTAAGGCTAAAAAGGATTTTTCTAGCATTTCCGACAGTACTATAGTTTACTTGCTTGGGCATGCAGGTTGGAGTAAAGAGAGGCTCAAGGGGTTCAGGAAGGAGAAGGGATACCGATTGCATATCGATGGCCATGTCCATGCAGTTGAGCTTCATAGTTTGACACTTGATCATGTGTATGAACGAGCCCATTGCACCCATGAGACATCACAGTCTGACAAGGCCTACCTAACCTGGTGTCTACTGGAGAGGGGAAATGCTAGTATTGTCTCAGGAGGATGTGAACGTACAGGGTAAGTATTATTTTTTTTGTGTATTTTCCTACAAATTATTGAATTTCCTGAATCAGTTGAATTATGTCAAGTGAAGTGTTACAAAACAATTTTCAAAGCTACAATGTTTATTAGCCTTTTCAAAAATTCATAGTAGTTATTAAATAAATTCTGTTTCATATTTTTTTTCAGTGATGAGGGTGCTTGTAAGCATGTTGTTGCCCTACTCTTCAGCTTAGTGGACTGGTCTGACAAACGTGGACAGGAGTACAGAGACCTGCACAGATGTCAAGTGTGTTTGGGACAATGCAAGGAAAGAGTCTTTGCCACTTAAACTAGCTGACATTAATGTAGCAGGGCAGTGAATGTAACAAAACTACAAACACACGCTACTGGTGTGAGCTATTGCCCAAAGGAGCATTTATTAGTCGAAAATTCACCCTGAAACATTTATAGAAATAATGATACATTACTGACTGAGTTTGGTTTTACGCCGCTTTTAGCAATATTCCAGCAACATCACGGCGGGGGACACCAGAAATGGGCTTCACACAAATGATACATTAATAGCACATATGATAGAATCATCAATATTGCAATAGTTCATACTAGTAGTTATAAACAGACTAACATACAATACACAGTAAGGTTACAATCAATCTTACCAAGTATATTGCACGATATATGTTGATAAGTATTCTAATTGCAATGAGATTATGAGCTTTTTACAAATTGGGAAAGACTTCCGCCCAAATCCCCCCCTTACATTTAATTCTATTCAAATCATATCACCTGAATATATATTCCTCATGTGATAAGGATGAGTTTTAATATGTTTCTTTAATTGTATCTGAACATACTGAAAGACATACCCAACTTCTGAAAATGCCTCTCAAAGAAATTTATCCTCATCGTTAAAATTAAGGGGGGATACGGGTGGAAGTCTAACCCCCTGTGGATAAGACTGAGGTGTCGACCAGCACAGCAACGTGTGTATATATCCAGCATATATCTGAATAAAATTTATATACTCTCATAACTAAGAGTAACACATTTATACAATTTACATACCACTTGAAATGTTAATGCCGTATATATTGCATACAAATACCTAACCACAACAGAATTTAAATAAGACTATTCTGCAACACATTCAGACTCTATCTCATGCACACAAGAGTAAAGATATAGGAAAGCTGTTTGTTAGTAATATTAAAGCTTACAATTTATAAGCCTGGTTTAGCATATTTATGTAAACAGATAATGGATGAGATTTAGAAAATATAAAACGCTTAATTTACTTTAATAGAACAGGTTTAATGTACTGCAACATATAAATGCAATAATATAAATATATAGAGATATATTGGACCTACCTGATGTGAAAGGTTTTCTTGTCAACTTATCTGTGGAGTGACTTTGTGCAGACTGAGTGCAAGCTGTTAGACAAAGGGCTTAACTTGGAGGGTTAGCTTGGCCAATCAGTTGAGCACATCATGGTTTTGAGGGACACATCACCTATATCTTAACTATCCTGGTCATAAATATAGATATGTTACAGTGAATATGTCAAATCAGTGATTTTGTAACATCACTGAAAATTTCAGGGATTTTATAAAATTCCTGATTCACTCGGTGGTTTCACAAAATCCCTGGAATTCCTAGGGGTTTAACAAAATCCCTGAAAATCACAACAATTTTTTTACATATTCCCAGAAATGAATATATCGCATTCTCAGTGTTTGTTTTGACAATACTGCTTGTAAATATTGCATGTGTATACAGTAACCAAAGATAAACAATATAAATTGCATATATTAAGGACACAGATTGTCAAATGAATGAAGTCTTCAATAATGAGCATAGTCAAGTTAGCATTTCACTTCCAAAAACAATGCTGGAATGTGGCCTTAAGTATAAACTTTGACAATTTCACCTCCCAGTTTCTTTGATTATGTTAAGTTTAACATGAGAAACAGTGATTGTGAAGAAATTAATTCACTTCCTGAGGGTCAGTCAGATGATAAAAACTGGTTTAAGTATCGATGTGGTCGACTGACTGCATCTGTCTTTCTAAATGTGTTAGCTTACAGTCAAACTAAAAGAAAGTGACAATTACATACTAAAACAAGTCATGTCTGAGTACAGAGGTAAATCTGCTGTTAGTAGTACTTATGCTTCTTCAAGATTAGCACCGTGTTGGCCTGAATGTTTATGTTCCAGGATTATTAGTAAATGAAAATATGCCTCATCTATGTGCCAGCCCTGATGGCGTTGTACATTGTGAATGTTGTGGTAAGAACCTTTTAGAAGTTAAATGTACTTACAAATACAAAAATTGCAGTATTGACAAAATTTGTTCTGAGAAGTACAATGTGTATGAAAATGAAAATGGAGTGATAAAGCAGAATAGGTCTTCAACTTGGTTCAAGCAATTACAGTGCCAAATGGCAGTTGCAAATGTGCAGTGGTGTGATTTTGTTCTCTATGTTGAAGGTACCATAAAAACTGGAAAGCATTTGATATATATTGATAGGATTTTTTTTTGACCAAATGGAATGGAAAAAAGATTTTCAGAAAATAACCTCTTTCTATGAATCATTCATTGCCCTAAACTGTTGTCTTATATTGATCTGCAGTTGTAGTCCTGTAAATTATTGATATGTTAAATGTATGTGAGAAGTGTAAAAGGTCAGTGAGACATGCATATACAGATAGTCTCATCCGAGAGTCATTTGATATATAATATTTCACTACAAGTCGATAAACATAACAAAACTCAGAGTCTCACCAAATACTGACTCATATTAATTTTAATACTTACTGGCATACATAATAGTATGTCAGTTGAGACAACATGACATTATGGAACGTAAATTGAAATTTATTTCTGTACATTTGTTCAGCTAATATTCATAACAGAGCTTGGGATTTCAGCATCTAATACTATTACATCCATTTCTAAAACAAGAACATGTACATGAAAAAGTAATAAATATTATTACTATAATTACTATATAGTATTACTCCAGGGGATACTGTACATTTGTTGTATATAGACTTATCATTATCATTATGATTTGACAACAAAACAAATGTACTGTTAAGTGAATTAAATGGGGATATCTGTTATGTAAACAGTTGCAAGCTTTCATAGAAGCACTTAATGACAAACATCAAGGTTACATTTAGTAGCAAGTTTTCTACCTCGCATTTCAATGTATTTTCCGTATTTGTCATCTTTTACCTGTATAGCTTGTGTGAAATCCATATTGATTTGTTGAGTATTGTAATGATTGATCATAGTCCAGATCTGTATGATGCTAATAGAATAATTGAATGTGGCTATAATTATGTACAAATGATTGCATGACAACTATTGTACAGCACATTGTAAACCAAAAGTCACTGTGTTCTTTAATCTGATTGGTTGAAAAACGTGATCAAATGGTATTTGATTCCCGGAAATTCTCTGCGTATTAATACATACAAACATCGCTCACGTCATTGTATTGTTACGTCGTCAGCTGTGATGACGTCATTAAAATCATATTGTGACGTAAAGTCCGAATGATGTCACAAATGAGCAGTTCTAGATGCTACCATGGGAGACAGCCGAAACGGCCGGCTGATGACATTTCACTGCTGTACCCATACTCGATGTCAATGAGTGCAGACACAAAAAACGTGTGTGGACCTTTTGGTTTACTTTTGTGTTTACAATGTCGATAAACATCATGTGTTGGCGAATTTCCGGGTGTTATTGTTATTTCCGGCTGACGCCGTCGGTTCCAAATGAACTCCCGTGCTTCAAATACCCAATAACACCCGGAAATTCGCCAACACATGATGTTTATCTCCGAAATATCAACAATAAACCATGATGTATCAAAAAATAAGTATCACATTTGTTATTTTTTTTTACAGAATTGAATACAAGACACTGTTCCATCAAGCCAAAATAAATACATTATTTTTTCACAACAAGTATTAGAATTGAATTAGTTCCTGACTAGTTTTGGCATGAAATTGCAAAAAAAACCGCACACACTTTCACCTTTTTGTTAAGTGGTTTCACTTCCCTAGGAATGATGTTACTTAAGTCGAAAACATGTTAGTCTGTGTTTAGCTCTCTCGACAAGTTTAGCAATGTTTCTTGTCTTTTTAATTTCACTCGAATAAAAAGAGAATACGAACGAAAACGTAACTTTTGATGGGAGTAAAGTTATTCTAAAAGTCACCTTCCGTGAATAAAATTGAACAAAAAGTTTGTAAAATCGCAATAAAAACACAAAAAAACGTACTTGTATTTCCACCTGTTACGGAAACACCTGACAGTTAATGAGCAAAGGGGGTATCACGTGACATGACGTCATATGTGCCTGTTGCTGATGGCTTCCTCTTTGGTTTTACCTCACAACTTAACAGTGTCCATGGTTTCTGAAGCAGTAAAATATGTTCCTGATGTCACTTCTGAAATGGATGTTAGACCGTATCAATACGATCCGATTTAACATCTTGCAAGACAATCTTCCAGTGAAGATGAGAAGAAGAATCAAGTGAAACGAAGGCAATTCATGCTGGTCTACTATATCACACCACACCTCTCTAAAATTAAATAATGCATTTCTCTCAATAATACTATCAGCCCTCGGAAACTACCATATACTTTATTCAAAAACAAATTACATATTTAGATTACAATATTAAATTAAAAGGTTCAAATGAATTTATGCAACGTTGTGTAGCCATGTTTTTGTGGTTCGGCTCTGGGCTGCTGCTCAAGACAACACAAGGCAATGGTGATGATATAAATTTTATTCAAATGATGGATGAAGCTGTTGCTGAGGGTCAAGCCTGAGAAAGGGAAAAAATGTTTCCAGCTCAACCCAAAAAGTACTAGAATCTGTACTTTACTAAGAAAGTGTAATCCCAAATATAACATATGTTACATTTGACCTCTTTCTAAAATGGCATTGTGTATTTCATAGCTTTCGGCCGTGGGAGCCGTGCCAATTAACACTCATCAGAGGGGTACACAAAGTCCGCAGTCTAGACTACCAGTTGTCTGACTTCCATTTTTGTGGAAGCCGCTGTGTCTGAGCGGTCTAGGTGTCTGACTTTGAGTGCTGGCGATTAGGTGCCTGACTCTGAGGGTGTGGGTTCAAATCCCGAATGGGACTCAACCCAAGAAGTACTAGAATCTGTACTTTACTAAGAAAGTGTATTCCCAAATATAACATATGTAACATTTGACCACTTTCTAAAATGGCATTGTGTATTTCATAACTGTATCTTTGCCATGTGTATATGTTTACAGCCCAATTTGTGCTTGAATATTTGTCAATGTACCACCTATGTAGCTGTTAGACTGCTACTAATAGTATACTGATTGCTTACTTACTAAAATGTTTACTAAATAGAGTACAAAAGGTTGTGATTAATGGTTTCCGTTCCAAATTAAGACCTGTAATGACTGGTGTTCCTCAGGGTTCAGTCTTATGACCACTACTTTTGACTATAAACATAAATGACATAGTTGATGGAATTAACAGTAACATTAATTTTTCTATCCCCCTATTGATTGATCTCTATCCTCAGCCTTACCCCAACTACTGTCTGCGACACCCGTCCTGGTTTTGCTTTTGAGACAACCCCTCCTACCTGTTTCATTTTATAGTGATAGTGAGACTCCATGGTAACTACATCCTCAATAGTTTCAGTATTAGAGTTATTATTTTTAACGTCTGCTGTCGTTTATAATGAAGCTAAGTCTAACTTCAAAATGGGCATTTAAAACTTGTCCATTGTAATACAATATCATCGCACTCTAATTTTCATAAAGCCATGGTCTGTTCCAAATAAGTCGCTTTGGACTTAGAAAATAACCACATTGCTCATTTCTGCACTAATCACTCCTCAGTAAAGTCCTTTTTCTACGTTTACTATCTCCCTACCACTGAGACTGTAGTAAGGCATATAACTACTTTACATATTAGCTACATAAATTGTAGATATAAATGCGAAAAAATATATGAAAAATTGCATTTCCGACAGTACTTTAGTGCACCAAACTTTTCACATAGGTAGGTCTGGTGGTGTACTGGGGCCTTTTGGTAGTTTGGGATTTCTGAAAAAAAATTTTTTTGCGTTTCCATGGCAACAAGTTTGACTTTGATTTAATTTGGTGGTAGTGCTCCTTTCAATACTCTCCTTCCAATTTGCTATATACATGCCAAAACATTTGAAATAGTCATAACTAGTTGATATATTCATAAAGAGTATTTTGCCATTGCGGAGAATATTGATGACTTTGTCTTCTTGTTTTGCACTTGTATCTAAATTTTTGTATGTGTATCTTTTCCATAAATATTTTGTGTAAAAGAGTTGTCTAATTTATATATTTCAGTTATCTGTCTCAGTTTAACGACTGGAAAGATGGCCAGTATATCTGTTCCTCCACTTGACCTTTCCCTTGGAGTGCAAAGTTACAAGCCACCGCTGTCACTATGGCAACTAGTGGAAGACGTTGTTAGTTCACATGAGCAAGGGGAAGTTAAGAGGATTTTGGGAGAAAGCCTTGTTGACCAGAGTATTGAACTTCATGAGGAGGTTTGTAATTTTGACAAATCAAGTTGATCAAATTAGTATCAATTCTTTTTCATAGAGATCCTCCTTGGGGTACATATAAGCAATAAAATGTCCATTTTAATCCCTACGACAGTTGTAACTGTATTTTGAATAAAAATATTTACAAAACAAAAACTATGTTTTTGCCTTGTGAGACCACCCCTACAGGGCCCCACGGAACCCAGACGACCAAGAGCAGGTAACTCTAGGCTATAACCTCAAACCTCACTTTCCATGCTGTCGTTCTGAGTATCAGACGTGTGTGGTGCCCTTGCCTTCTAACAAGAGTTTGACTTAATTCCTGTGACAATGAGTGTTTCTTAGACGGCTACTGTATGTATGGTTCTCTTTTTTCCTGCATGGGCGATTTAGAATGTGTTTCAGATATTATTTTCATTCATCTTTTGTTGCGGGGGATATACAAATGAGTTACGTGTGTCCGTCGTACCGTCCATGCGTCCGTCACACGTTGTCCGAAGCATATCTCCTAAACTATTCGTGATAGCTTAACCAAACATGGTACACAGGTCAACCATGATCCCTAGATGTGCCTTTTGGGGGTTAGACCCAGCTGCAAATTTATTTTTTGCGGTTTCCATGAAAACATCACTTAGGCTGTGACTATGAGGATGTCATCTTGTCAGGAGCAGATCTCCTAAACTGTACGTGCTAGCTTCATCAAACTTGGTACACATATCAAGCATGATCCCTAGATGTGCCTTTTGGGGTTTAGACCCAGATATGAATTTTATTTTTTGTGGTTTCCATGGAAACATGACTTAGGCTGTGACTGTGAGGATATCATGTTGTCTGGAGCAGATCTCCTAAATTATACATGCTAGCTTCATCAAACTTGGTACACGTATCAAGCATGATCCCTAGATGTGCCTTTTGGGAGTTAGACCCAGATATGAAATTTATTTTTTGCGGTTTCCATGAAAACATGACTTAGGCTGTGACTATGAGGGTGTCATCTTGTTGCATTTCCATGGCAACAAGTTATGCTTCAACTGAATTTGGTGGTAGTGCTCCTTTATGGAGCAGATCTTAAAAACCTTTCAACACTCTCCTTCCACTTTGCTGTATACACACCAAAAACATTTGACATAATCATAACTAGCAGACATATTCATAAAGAGTATTTTGCCATTGAGGGGGATATTGATGACTTTGTCTTCTTGTTAGCCTTGTGTCTTTCAATGCTTAGTGGTTTAGTAGTTGTTTGTGTTTTGTAGTTAGGTTATATATGCAATATATATTTACTATATATATGGTGTTTTTCCGCTGGTAATTTTACATTGTTCAGTTCAATTACGCCTCATGTTTCTTGATTGCAACTTTTTTGCTGGTAGGTTTGTACGTAGCATGCATTAGTTTTTCTCATGTTGTGTCTACATTAATGTTATGCTATTAGTTAGTTTGTGTCGCCCATGCGTGTTATTGTTTATTCTGTTTATATGTAGCACGCTTTGAGTCCAAATCGGCGATCCCAGTCAAGGATCCCCACGATTCTTGCCTGCGATGTTTGGCTGAAGGCAGTCATGATGATCAGGAATGCTCCTCATGCTCGGGCTTCACCCCTAACACCAGAAAGTCCCGCCATGCTGATTTGCTATTTTATAGCAATCTTATTCGGGTGGAGGGTGACATTTGGGAACAGGACCCCCACTCCAAACGGTCGCATAAAAAGAAGGTGACTTCTGCCTCCTCTTCTAATGTGGAGTCAGCCCTTAAAAAAGCAAAAGCTGTTAAGTAGCCCTTCCCCGCCCCTATCTCTGCCTCCCCTGCACGTCCATCTGTCAGTGCACCTATATTAACATTTGATGCTTTGTCGGATTTGTTACAGAGACAGATGTCATCCGTAAAATCCATGATAGACAGTGCGATGTCTGGGCTCCACCAGGAGCTCAGCACCCTGCCTGTCGTCATGGGTGGCATGGACGCTTCTGTTGGGGGTTGGATGCGGCCCGATCCGAGCTTGGGCTCTGGTGATGGGTTGTCTGGGGACCTCGTGGTCGGCCTGGCCTCTGGCTCAGGCACGGCACAGCTTCCCCGGTGCTGGCGACTCATGTCTCGACCTGAGTTCGCTGGTGCGCCAACTAAAAGCCCTAGCTTCGTCTCGGGCTCCTCGGTGCCTGTGTGTAGTCTGGGTTGCCAGAGAATCCTGTAGGGGCAGGCTCGTCCCTTGCAGCTCGGTGCACCGGCTTGGGCTTCGGCCAGGGACAGGGCGACTCGGGTACTTGGCCCCGATGACCTTCCGAGCCTTTCATGTTCTATGTCTGTTGCGCCCTCGGTTACCTCTCTCGATTACAAGAACCCGGTTGCCGAGGAATGTGATGAAGTAGATATGGAGGAGGACAAGTGGAGAGAAGGGTCAGAGATGGAAGTCACATACTCTTTTGGGTCGTCCCTGAGGCAAGTCCATGAGCGTATTGCGGAAGTGTTGCCTCAGGTGGCTGTTCAGGTGCAAGAGTCCAACCCCATGGAGTTTCATCTCCCGGATGATGCTTTTGCACCTACCCGGGTGGCTGAAACGAGGTTGCGCATTCTCCCGTTGAGCATGGTATTGAATCCACTTCTGACTTTCCCCTGTTCACGCTTTGATTTTCCGGAGATCAGCAAGTGGTACCAGTTGAGGGAGGACACACTATTTGAGGCACCAGTGGTGGATGAATGTGTCTACGCCTCCATCACCCTTGGGGGGGGTCCACCTCTTCTTCTCTGGCTTCTGCCAGTCAGGGCTAGCGGCTGCCGCCTTTTCCCGCTAGTGCCCCTACACTTAAGTCAGCTTGCCTGTCCTTCGAGGATGTTTATCGGTGCGTGGCTAAACAACTACGTGTGGCAGTCCACTCTGCCTACCTGTCGGCTGTACATGGGCAGTTGTCGGACCAGGGTGCAAGTGGTGATGTTGTGTAGTCGCCCTTGCTAGTGCGGCAGCTTACCGACGTCCATTCTCATCTGGCTAGGGATAGCATTAGATGCTGTGCCAGTCAGATGATGGGCGCCGTTATGGGCCTGCGTCGGTTTTGGCATTTGGTGGCGTGTTGTTCCCCGGCCACACAGCAGGCGCTGCTTTCACTGCCTTACACTATGGGTTCTATCCTTTTCCCTGGGGCACTGAAGGTGGTATGAGAGGCCGCGGAGGCGGTAAGTACTTTCAAAGACTCTAAGCCTTTCTTAGAACACCCCTCCACTTCTCTCGCCAGCGGCCCTCGCCTCTACCGCTTATCCTTCTACACCGGCAAAGGAGCCTGCAAAATGGACGGCGCCATTGCAGAGCAAGAGGGCACGAGGCAAGGGCAAGCCTGCTCAGTCGCAGCAGCCTTTTCCCATTGAATCTCCCCACAGAGCCCTTACTGCCCCACGCACAAGCAAGCGGAGACTTGCCGACTGGGGGGGGTGTACTGCCTCATGTCACATGTCTCTGTAGGTGGCCGGCTGTCCCTATTCCTTCGGGAGTGAGAGGCAGCCTCGTCAAATCCCTGGGTCCTGTCATGCCACAGTGGAGGCGAGGTCCACCGTCCTTTTCCAGGGTTCGGTACACTCCCGTGCCATCCTCCAGAGAGAAGGCGGACGTCCTCAGTCGTTACTGGACAAGGCAGCCATCGAGGTGGTTCCGGAAGGTCGGCAAGTAGAGTTGTTTTATTCCACTTACTTCCTAGAGACCAAGAAGGACGGAGTGTTCAGACCCATTCTGAATCTCAGAGGGCTGAACGAGTTAATAGAGGTGCCGTCTTTCAGGATGGAGACACTGCGCTCAGGGATCTCAGCTGTCGAGACAGGGATTGGCTCATGTTAATAGATCTCAAAGATGCATACCTCCATGTTCCCATGCTCCCCGATTTCATGTTGTCACCCGTACCTAGACGATTGATTACTGAGGGCCTTAGGCCAACAGTTAAGTCGAGACTCCACACACAGGTTGATGGATATTCTCGTAAAACTGGGCTGGATTATCAACCTCAAGAAATTCAGAACTGGTTACGACACAGGATCTGGTGTTCTTGGGGGCAAGGTTCAATACGGAGCTAGGGATTGTTTCCCTGGCTCCAGACCGCATTGTCAAAATCAAGAGGACTATAACACTGTTCCTCCAGTTCCCCATTGTCTCAGTTCAGACTTGGCTTCGGTTGCTAGGCAACATGGTGGTAACAGTGGATGTACTTTGGCTTGCGCGTCTGAGGATGAGACCAATACAGCAGGCGTTAGCCCACTTGGAGAGCTACGAGTACCTACTCGAGACGCCCGAGTGGTTAATCCCTCACTTTCGGTGGTAGACGGAATTCGGGAATCTATCCATGGGGCTCCCTCTGGAAACACCGATGCCTACCCTCTCGATTCAGACAGACCCCTCCCTCTCAGGTTCTGAGCCTTTGGTTGTAGAGCGAAGTCCGATTGCACATCAGTGTTCTAGAATTGAGAGCAGTCCGCTGGGTGTTCGAAAGCTTCGTGGAGTTAGTTCGTGGTCACAAATCTCGCTTCGCTTAGGGATTCGACAAACGTTCAATATGTTATGCGCGCTGGTGTGTCAGCAGGGGGATTCTTGATCCCTTTTCTGCAGATTTAGTCTCTGTGATGGAATTCCTCCATCTCGGTTGGAGCCGGTCTTGCGACTTCAACTGTTAGAAGATATTCAACGGCTATTTCGGCATTCATTGTTCCTGTTGACGGTGCAGACTTGGGGCAGCGCCCTCTGGTTCAGTGCTTTTTAGCAGGCATGGACAGAATCCGTCCGACTGTCTGCCAGATCAGTCCCCCGTGGAACTTGTCAATTGTTCTCGATTGGCTGTCCGGACCCCTTTTTCTCAATATGTCGGCTCTTTCCCTCCAGATGTGGACGGCAGCCTTTCTTGTGGCAGTAACTTCAGGCAGGTGGGTAGAGGACGTTCACGCAATGTACGCCATCCCCCACACTAACTGTTTCTTATAAGGACAGAGTTAGTATTCGTTTGTCGGATACTTACCGTCCTAAGAGAGATGGT